CATAATATAGGGAGCTTAAGCAACGACGACGGCGACGCCGAGGACGACGCCTAGTAAAATACGAATTTATATTTTACCAGAGAAATTCCCAACTGTCTAGACATGATTGATCATCACAGTTACATAGTTGTGTATATAACTACGATGATCAACCATGTCTTCATACGTTTCTCCGCAGTTCAAATAAATGATCTTTCATATATATTCACTTGCATTCTGTCTAGATAATGTTCAACTGTTCAGTATGCCAATAGCTCTTAATATGTGCTTAGGCTAAATATGCAATGACAGCGTTCAATTCCAAATGAAAATCAGTATTCAAAATACGAAAAATTAGCCGTTGTCGTTCGCGTTCCTTAGACTACGCAAAACTTAGTCATTTCACGTTCAGTTGTTTTGCAGAGGACAGCAAAGAAATGTGCACAGCCATTGTTCTCATTAAACCTTTTGTTTGGTGGCGTTCTCGTTGCCTTCGTCGTCGTGGTTTGCTCAAGCTTCCTAATCAGAAGCGTAGAGTGATACGATCCAGTGAAAATCAAACTGAGGTAACCATATGGCGGGGTTCCACTGCAATCGTCCTGAGAAGATGACGGCTTGTTCCAAGCTACCCTCTCTCACGCAAATTGTATTTTAAGGAAGAAATTACCTCGCATCCACGTTGAATTTTACTGTATTGTAAATGAGAGGCGTTAACCGGCAAAAAAGGCTAATTTGACAAATATTGTAGCAATCATGTCAGTAAAAGAAAACAAAGAAAATCCGCCAACTAGTCATTTAAGACACAAATAATCATTGTATAAACACATAAAGAAGGGATGATTCAATTTCATTCCCGGCAACCTCTACCAGATCAGGTATTTTGAGAAAACTGACCACACAGAAAATATCAACACAAAAACTGTTCCTAAGTACATTTCTCTGATTTGCTTTATTTCTTTGTGAGAGGAATCTGTTCAGACATGATAATTTGTTGGAATAACAGGATTTTTTACAACTCGGCTAAAGTCTACAAACGCTGCATCAAATATAACAAAATGTGTAAACACACAAGTGATAAAATAATACTATCATATCTTTATCAATACTATATAACACCTTGT